ATAAACTTTTAACATATTTGAACATTTTTCAGAAACTATAACTAATACATCATGAGTTTGGAACCCTATGAGTTTCAACTAGAAGGAGAAACAAAAAAATGTAGAAAGATGAGAAAGGTGAGCTCTAAAACATCAATGATGTCAATGCACATGACAATCTCTTATTCTCAAAGTTGGATCATGCAGATCACGATTCCTGATTGGAATAAAATAAGAACTTTCAGTAATTCAAGAGTAGGCGAACAATCGTTTTTCACATTTAATTATTAAGTATGTTTCATAAGTGTATGGATATACATATATACAAGAATGTCGTTTTATAAGATCTTATCAGAAATTTTAATAATCAAAGCTTATATATGAATTATAATCTTATATGCATCAGGATTTATTAACAAGATGAGTCCTGCGTACATGACTGTCATGAGCAGCATGAGAAGCAAATGGCTTTCCACAATGAGCACACTGGAAATGTACAAATATGCGTTTTGATAACTGAAAGATGAAACATACTTTAAATGGCTTCTCTCCACTATGTTGTCTGATATGTGTCCGTAAAATGGAAGAAGCAGTGAAGGCTTTTGGGCAAAAAGGACACTTGTATGGTCTTTCACCAGAATGAACTCGCAAGTGCTGAATTCAAAGTTGATACGATGAAGATGAAAGCTGTACAACCTTATTCAAACTGCTGCTTTGGCTGAATGATTTGCCACATATGTTACAACAATGAGGCCGATGATTCTCATGTACATGTAGAATATGAATCCGTAAACGATCCCTCTTCTCGAAAGATCTGAAATCCAGAATGATAAATGAATAGAAAAAAAATATGGAATGTTGTGTTTGTGGAGTATTTGCATAAAACACTTTTGTACATCATTTGGTTTAGATTCTTAATATATTAAATCTCATTCTATCGAAATTGAAAAGATGTGTTAGTGGAAGGCAAACTTTATAAGGACTTCCTTTCCTTATCTATACAATGAGCTATTCTTCTAACAGATTGTTTGTTGTATTTTATGATTTCATCTTACTATTGGGAGAAGGATGAGTTAGTGTCATAGAGATAGAGAGAGAGTGTGAGAGAGAGAGAATGGAATGATCAGAGAAAGAAAGAGATGAGCATGAGCATCGCGAGAGCAGAAGAGCAGGAAGATTTAAGTGTCACACAATTTCCCCATTCCCTAATGTACATTGCAAGGTGTCAAGAGTGAGTAGATAGGAAAGGAAGAACACAAATGAATCGAAAGAATAGGCGAAATGAAGAAAATATATCAAAAACGGACATGAAGATACACAGAGATACTCGCTTCAAGTACCCCTTCGAATAGGAAACAGCAAATATGTGGATGGAAAGCATTGGCTGGTTTGAACGCAGATGCCCACTTCTGCCAGAAAATAGAAGTATTTCATCGTCGGTCTCTTTCTCAATTCTCAGTCAGAATGAGAGAAAATTTTTGCGAATCTTGACGTGTTACATAGATTACTGTAGCTTGTTCAGATACTTATTGACTATAAGTGGAAATGTAGTCGATGTGCTGGCAGGAAGTTAGAGAGAGAATAATAGAAATGAGAGCGGAAGAGGTCAACCAGATGACATAATGTCGTTTTGACGGTAGAAGTAAAAGATACTTCATGGTCATCATGCTTATATCGCTATATATGACAGCTTTGGCGGAAAATGATGTCATCTCATGAAGCATATCAAGGATTTTACAATATGAGTGCATATCGTTTATAATATGACAATTGAGTGCATGGAAAAAGGAAAAGCCGAACCTGCTACATATAGGACAAGGGAATTTACGATCTCCATTATCCACACATCTTGTATATTTGAGATGCTTATCTCTGTAGTAAGCATAACTGAATACCTTTCCACATCGTTCACAAGCAAACCCTCCGCAATCTGAAAAAAAGCCAAGTTAGAGTATCAGTGAGATACATGATTTTCTATTTGAGTTATTTAACTTCATAAGGAAGTTATCTTGTATTCGCAGAACTGGACGTTGATGGAAGCGTCTAAGTCACAGTGGATAATACATCTTAAGCCTCATAACAAAAGTCATCTCAGTAAGGAAGTCAATGGATAAACACTATTTTCCAATAGATTGGCCTATTATCTATTTCATTTCGGGAGAGAAGAGGAACGTATTGGATGTTTTCTCATAATGAAATGAAGGGACACGAAAAGAGCTCGAACATAGAAATAGAAAAGCTTATATAGTCATGATCCCTCCTAAATTACAAAAATAATGAGCTTCTATCTAACTAGAGCCCCCAATGGATTTCAGTAATCCTCTGCTGTTTGGCTGAAAATGTCAAAAGAGAGCCGAAGCATGAGAATTTTTCATTTTTTGTCTATTCAAATGAAACTGAAAATCCTTCCTCTGCCTACAAACTTACGGCAAATTACAAGAGTAGATTGGATATGAGAGAGAGAGAGGGAGAGAGAGAAAGTGAGGGGGAAAAGTTGATAATCTATTAATTACGATCAATCCAATTGAACGAAAAAGGATTTTAACAGAATTCGATTCAGTTAAACGATTTATAGACTCAAATTGAGTTATTTACAATCTAAAAGTTATCAAAAAAAAGTTTAAAATATATAAGCTTAACATGGTGGGCTTACGGTAGTCAAGGTTGCCTGACTTAGGCTTCGTCTTACAGTATGTCAGTTATGCGAAATCCACTAAGTAAATGATTTGTACCTGCTGCTGTTGAATTAGTGGCCTTTTGGTCAATTATGGAAGTAACGTCGATTGTTTCTTTTTTAAATTCTACATTGGGGGTACTTGGTCTTAACACAATTTCTTCTCCACATGCAATTGTTCGAAGTACTGTATCGGACCGAAAATTGCCCAAGGCATCTTCGCGGCAGTATGGAAGCCAGCACGTGGGCATCTGAAGTAATTACAATAGTTTATAATGATAAAGTAAAATAATTACTTTCAGTTCAGCTCCTTCCTCTATGCCTTCTTCTCTTATACAAATGATTGAGACAAATCGTTGATTCCCAACATGGACATTTAGAAGCATCAGACCAGACACATTTTGATTCATACCCATTGGTATGGCTAGAATAAACATTCATAAGAACGAAAAAAGAGCTGAGGTTTACCTTCATCTATACATTTCATAGAAACTTGCTTTCTATCTTTTGCTTCTTTAGCCACACCAGGAATAATAGTCAATATAGCTTCTTTAGGCTCAACTGCGGTAGGTAAAGAGGTTTTTGGCATATCAAATGCTACTGAACTTGGTCGGGCTGAGAACATTAGATGATTCCATAATGGAAAGCTCAAGGCATCCGGATGGAATAAAGGTAAAGTTGGTCGGATAGGGAACATCCTAACCGACTGTCACTACAACTGATCTTACCAAATGAGCTGTGGAGCAAAGGAGGGGGATGGAAGAGATCGGAGACAGATGCTCTATATGGTTACGGTAGTCGATGAAGAGGGAAAGAGACTAAAGAGGCGGGGCTAAGCAGTGAATGAATAGATGACTGGTTGTTGGAGAGTGAAGTGAGGATATGTAATGAATGATGAAGAGCTAATGCTTGCTAAATGAAACAATTCTACCAAGAAATGAAGGATTACAAGTAACTTTTGAAATAGAGGTGGGTGTTTAAAGCTCAAGAAGTGTTTAAGCTATAAAATTATGAGCAGAAGGTCCGAAATAAAGTTTAATTGCTTAGATCCTTAATATTTTGATAATTATAAGGTCGTAATAGCTGAGCACGAGAGATGGAATGAGAGAGATTGAAAATGAGAATAGGAAAAGCTGATGAGGAGTCAAACCGGGAAGAGGAAAAGAAAAATGAAATTTATGAAAAAAAATACTTTTTTCTACAAGTTTAATTAGTGGAGATGAGGAAGAAGTGCCGGACAATTCCGATCACGACATTAGATCAGCTGCATAGTATTGAAGCTTTTAAATGTAATTAAGTGTAAATTAAGTTGAAATGTGAATGCAAAGCTTGAAATGCTTAGTATTCAGAACATCCATTACAATAGATTAAGCATCTGCTATAAGCTACCATATACGGTAAGTTGTGTCTCGATCATCAAATTGTTATCTTTTCTTTCAGTTTTTTAAGAAATACATTACATTTCGAATTAGTCATCTTTTTAAAAAAAATTGGATTAAGACGAAAGCTTCTGATCAAAAATGATGAAAAAAACATGGATAACGAAGGAATTTAAAGGGGAAATGGTGATTGAAGAAGGATTCTAAGAGAGAGAGAGAGAGAGAGAGAGAGAGAGAGAGAGAGAGAGAGAGAGAGAGAGAGAGAGAGAGAGAGAAAAAGAGAAAAAGAGAGAGAGTGA